CCCAGCCACCCTCCACCCACCAGCACCAGGTATTCCTGGCCGGGACCACCCTGCAGAAACCCGGACTAATTGAATGAGGTTTCCTTCTCTGTGATATAATGAATAAATACTATGCAGCGAGCGGCAGCGACCTGCTTGGGGGAGAACGCGGGGTGCTGGGGCCAGGCTGTCAGAGCCACGAGCTCCACATTGCCCCAAAATCACCCCAAAAGCCACTTCCCAAGGGTGGAGTGTCTGTGCGGGGCTGGCCAGAGCAGTGAGTGCAGACAGCTCCTTGGGCTGGGGGGCTGGGTTGAGAGTCTGGGCTGGGGCTTTGGACAGAGATTTAAGCTGGGGCTTCAGGCAAGCTCCTGCTGCAGCAAGGGGACCTCTGAGCCTGACTGGGGCCATCCTGTTTTATATGTACAAAACTGTGAGCAAACATCCCTTAATCTGAGGGGACAACTAACTGGAGATTTTCCTCTCGTGCCAGGGAGGCCTCCCAGCCAGCAGGCACCAGATGTTGCTGATTTTTGGAGTTTGTTGCTAATGAAGCACAGTCATCTTCCCCCTGCAGCCGCAGGGTGGCCCTGGGTCCCTGAGCCCTTTCCCATCCCCGGGTTGGCTCTGGCACCGCCAGGCCTCAAGACCTCTGTCCCGAAGGTGGGGTCCGGGGCCACAGCCGGCACCTCGTGGCCACCATTGCCACATCCTTCCAATCCCTTCTGTGTCACTCAGCAGCAACTGTCCTGCTGGCTGCCCCTTCATCACACCCCTAGAAGGTGCAGGATTTGGCTCATTTCTGGCTGGAGTCCCCCAGAAACCCAGTTTTGGTGTGATTTGTTCCTGTCGCAGTGCTCTGAGAGCACACCATAAAGCCAGGCATTCAGCAGCTCCAGCACCCACCTCAAAGCAAGCTGTCCGGTGATGTGGAGGTGACCGGGTGTTTGCTTCAAGTTCCTCTGTATTATAATTAGAATATCTTTAGGTTGCATAAGAAAAATGTTTAAATACACGCTTTGAATGACTGTAATTGGATGGTGCTGAAAGTTCAACACACAGTGCAAGTCAAGCAGAGAAATTATCCAAGTGTGAAGGACTGTGTGAACTGTCAAGTTAATTTATAGCCCTTTTCAAGATCAATAGTAACAGAAATACAATTTTCAGAAATTACACAGTTGTAAATAATTATGCCAATGACTTATCTAGCTTGAATTAAAATTGATGGGGCAGTAATGATTCTGCACCAGAAACCATCTTCTAACCTGAAACAAGTCCTGCAAAACCCGACCCTCGCTTGCCTCGGTGGGGGGACTGGTACGGCCACTGGCAGCAGCTGCCAGAGTCCCGCCTGTGCCGAGTGTCACATGCTCATCAAATATTTTGATCTCTTCACAAAATCTGGCTTGTTAGGCTTCCTCTCATCGTGGCAGGAGGGCAGAGAGCCCGCTTAGCTGGGCGGCTGCCCTGCGGCCCAGAGCCCTGAGGAGCAGAGCCCGAGGTCAGCCTGCCCACAGCACGTGCATTTCTCCTGCAAGAGCGGAGACCCTGCGCTTCACTCACTGCCTCAAAACTGCTCATGAAACGGGAGGAAAACAGATTTCTCTCTACATGGGCTGCCCAAGCAGGCCCCTCTATCTGACATTCCTGCAAGGAGGGAGGGGGGGTCTTTTGCTGCACCAAAACCGCTGCCACTTGTGCCAGCAGGGAC